ATTAATATGCGGTGGCAGTTCCCACGAACAATATTCCTCTTAGGCCTTCCGAACAGGCCGTGCGTGCCTTCCTCCGTAGGATAAGGGCGGCTTTTCTCTCTAAGCCTGGCCTTGCTCTTGCCCTCCGTGCTTCTTCCTAAACCACAAACTGACCACAAACCGGCTTCTAGCATTGCTGAGCTGCAGCCACCTCTGCAGGAGCTCAGCGAATCTAAAGTTGGACACGGTCGGTGGTGTGCTTTTTTCTTTCTTACACCCCCGTTTCACTGCTGAAAAAACCCTTCCCCTTCCTCTCGAGTGCTCTCTCTCTCTCCAATTTCTGAGTGGGGGGGAATTAAAAGTGGGGGAGAGCCTTTCTGCCACTGGGGGCATCCAGTGACCCGCGAAAAGTTTCTCCCCCACTTTTAATCCCCCCCCCAACTCAGAAGTTAGGGGGAGAGAGAGCACTGGAAAGGCAGGGGAAGGATTTTGTCAGCAGTGAAAGGGGTCGCCCCCCTATTCTGGGACGACCTGACCCTCCCGCTGCCAGTTCGGTGTCCAGGAAATCTCCGGGAGTTGAACTAAACTTCGAGATTAGCTATTTGGGTTTTTTTTAAATATTATTATTTAAAAAATGGTCTGGGCTTACGGCGAACGGCCCAACCGAGGTGATTTCCGAACGTTGATTTCTCACCAGCCGCCTCGTTGATTCGAACCGGGATTCGCCTCAAACTAAGTTTTGAGGGGGTCTTTCTTTCTTTTCTTTTTAGAAAGAAGGCAGCCTTGCGAGTCCGAAGCCGCCGAACTAGGGGAGATTGCGGGACTTCTCTTAAGCACCGCAGCCGATTTGTAAATGGCACCCATCTTGTGTTGTGGTTGTTGTATCGTGTTTCAGGGTTTCCAAGGTCAGGGAAGGTAGCTTAGTCGGAGCGACTAAAATCATGGGAGGCAAATGTTCCTCACCGAGTATGTCCTACAATTGCCCGCCGGACTTGAAGTCGGCGAGCTGGGGCATACCCCTTTCCTTTCAGCCAGGGCGCACAGCTCTTGGGTGAAATTAAAGGCGGAAAATCGCTGCTCGAAACGCCGGTTGACTTCGGCTCCAGCTGGTCGCGTTTTCTGACCGATGGGCGCTTTGTTTGTTTGATCTCGGGGGTCTCGGTGGGGGGGGGGAATGAGGAGGGGAAAAAGCATAATTAAGCCCTTGCCTTTCGGCCGTTCCCACTCTTAATAGTGGTTGCCGCCGCCGCCAAAGGCTGGAGGCTTAATGGAGAGAAGTCGGCCGGTGGCGGGGTGAGAAAGGGGGCACTTCCAGGAAGACCGAAATCCCTGCCTCCCTGTTGGAGAGTAAGGCAAGAACCAGGAAAAGTTCGCTCCTCGGGAAAGGCGTTACGAAGAAGCCCAGTTCCACAGAGGTGTTAGGAGCCTACACCGCTGTGGTGGCGGTGGTGAAGATTATGATAACTGGGCGCAGGGCCAGCCAGGTGTTCCAGCATTTTTATCCACCTATGGAGTCTTTCTCAAGATTGTGAACAATATAATATAATCCTCCCCCACCCACCCCCAAAAAAGTGAGCTCAAAGGACTTTCAGGCCTGCTTCTGTCGGAAGTTTTACACACACTACCCCCCTTTACCCTTTCAAGATCTGGGCGATGTAACTCACAGTGGACACCGTATCTGCTACTTACCCAAACCTCAGTGGGAAAGCTAGTCTGTGTAGTCACCATTTAAAACCTGGTGCGTGTTAGGGCAGGGATGCTGGTTAGGGGGCTTAAGTGGGTGTGGAGGTTAGAGAGTGATGCTGTGCTCAGGTAGAATGGTAGAATAGAGAAAGGCAAACCTAGAACCTAAAACAGATATGGACCTTAGCCATGGGGAGTGGGTAGAAATGAGGGGGGGGGACTTCAGGTGAAGAATGAACATTTTAGACACCACAATCACCACACATAAATACCTCTGCCTGCCCTGCTTTTGGGAATCCCTTTTCCTCTGCCACTCATCTCAAGCAAGGTCAAGTTGACATTTCCTCCAAGGGCCCAATATCTTTTCAGTGGAAACACTCTCGAGAAATGCAGGGACCCTTCCCTTGACATTCAGGTAAAACTTGTTAGAATTGAAAGACCTGTCAGATTAAAAGAAGCTAGAAAGTTAGGAAAAAGAGGAATGTTATGGGTCATTGCCTCCCCAACCCCTTCAGTGTATTTTGCCATTAGGATTGTCTATATCATAAAGTAACAGTGTTATGCCTGTGATTTGCCTTGTTTAAATAATTATCTCAGTCCCACAACTTTCAATCAAACTCCTGTATATGTGAGAACAGGATTCAGATACCATAATACAGTTTGCATATATCTATGCTTCCAAACAAGCCCAGGGAATTCAGTGGTGTTTCAGGAATGGGGTGGGGGGGGGTGGGGAGTGTTTCCATCGGTTCATGAATCAAACCCTGAGTTGTGTTTCTTACAACTCTGTATAATTCGCCTGATTGGATGAGTTGGTGGCGGTGGCAGTCACCACCATCCTTATTTCTCACGTTCAAGAATAACCCTCAAGAAAAAATATACCCTTAAAAAATGCCATGTCAATAATATTAGTAAGCAAAAATAGGAAACAATTTTAATAACCAAGAGAAACAAAAACCAGAAACCAGTCTGAATAAAACTACAATAAGACCAAGAGGTGTTTTTTTAATATTTTTCATATCATAAGCAGGATTTGAAATTGATCCCTTCAGAACGTTTACATGAAATAAAAACATTTTCTGCTGCTGCAATGCTGTGATTTCAACACAGTTGAATCCATAAAAACCCAAAAGTTTAGAGGGGTATTTTCTGATGCATGACTATTAATATTCACAATATTTAAAACTGCAAGCACCATGCTTTTCATTTTTCACGATTCTTGGTATTACTGTTAATTTATAAACTAATACAAACTCAAAATGCATCCGGCCAGCAGTGCCAGCAAATTCTAAAAGGAAACTAAAAAATAAAGGTTTTCATTTTGGTATTTTTGTCAGTGCAACGTAAAATCCTTTTACTGACCTGCAGGAGGAAAAAGAAGGGGGAGAAAAAAAGGGGGGGAATCACAAGAAATAATAATTATAATAAACACCCATAAATTGCCAAACTACTAAAAGTTTTGGCTACACTCACTGGCTGCGTGAAAAAGCAGAATAAACATTGCAAAAGCTAAACTTGGAAGCTGCAAAGCTAAAACCACCTTTTTGAAAGAGGAAAGCTGTCCTCCCCCCCCCCCCATGTATTCTGAATTCATTCATCCTTTTACAGAGGCATAAACTTAAACTCTATTGGGAACTCTAATACACATGAGCTGCCTCTGATGCAGTCAGTGAAATTGACTCATGTTTTAGTTAAGAAACCCAGAGGCCAATTGTTGCTTTGGAGAAGAGAGAAAAATAATTGCAAATCTTTCTTTTTCTGAGCCAACAATGAAATCAGGTGGCCCACATGGATAGCTGGGTCATGAATGATGGACTGTAGCAGGACCCAATCACTAAAATTATCCCTTGTTGCCACTTAAAATATATATTTCTCTCAAATTAATGTCTTTTTTAAAAAAATCAAAAAGTGACTTATAAACATTGGAAGTTACTTGGAAGTTAAATCCAACTGGATACAAAGGAACCTGGTTCTATCTAGTCTGGTCCTTAATTTCAGCAGACTTGACCTCCAAGTAATTTAATTAAGATTGGAGAATTAAAAGAGGCAAAGGGGGGAAAAAACTCTTTCTGCCCCAACAAAAACCAAAATGAAAACTAAATGAACAAAAAGAACCTACAGCTTTTAAAAGTGCACCGAATATACAAGGATGTTTTCTGAATGCAAAATGCCCAGAATTTTTTTTTTGTAGGTTATGATTTGTCTGCAACAAATGATCACTGAAAACCAGCCTGCTGAAATGTTCTTGTGTTTTCGCCCTGTGCAGATTTTATGTGGTGTGGCTGATATTTACAAGCTAACACAGAGCCCAATTCCCCCCCCCTCCAGCTGTTCTCTTATGCAGCAGCCTCATTGATCTCTGTGAAACTTGCACAGGAGGCATGCCTAGTGGGTTGAGCTCCCAAATTTTTTTTTAAAGAAAAATAAAGCTAATAGAGAGATAGAACAAGCAGTTGCATGTGCAATTAAAAAGAAGGGTTTTTTATATAGAATTTGTGACAGTTTCTTATTCAAAGAAACAAACAACAGTACAACAAAAAAAAAGTATGGTCGGTGATCAACGACATGCGAAATTCTTAAACAAGAAAATGGTACAAAATAGAAGTTACCATACATGTCCAGCATGCAGGATTAATATTTTTAATGCAGATTTTTTTTTTGTTTTCTCTATATAATCAAGCAGGCAATAAAACTGAGGAGGCTTCTGTCTGTCTCTCTCTCTCTCTTTAATTTCCTTCCCTATTTTACTAGCTCGCATAGTTAAGTCCCATCTCAATTCTGTCTTTTTCAAAGCAGGCAATCTATGAAAAACCTGCATACATTGTCCTTGCTCCTTTTCCAGGCTACGGGTGCACTTCCCCCCTCGCTTGTGTTCTTCCGTGTTGTTGTTTTTTTAGGAACTCCAAAGTGGGTATTCTAGATGGCTTGTCCGGTGCCCGTCCCTTTGTTTTGCAAAGTCCAGGATAAAGTTCTACAAGCAAGCAATCAAGTTGTATAACAAACTTTTTACCAGAGAGCCCTTTCCTTTCCCCCCCCTCCCCACTTATCTCTCCCTCCCCAAAGCCCCTTTGGCTGCCAAGCGGCCGATTAAGAGGAAAAGTTGTACCCTTTCCCTTCCGCCCTTCAGAGCTAAGCTAGAAACACAAGGTGCTGCCGCAGAGGTTTCCCCTCGCAGTCCTGGCCTGGAGGAAGCCCACCCTTTTCCCAGGCCTCGCAGTCATTCTTCTGACTCTCTTTTTTCTCAACCTTAATCTCGCTGCTGGCTCGAGAGGGTAGATGGATGGAGATGTCAGCGGAGGAGGAGAGAAGGGAAGCAAGTGGGGAGTAGCGGATGGGTGGGTGGGTGGTCTTGTTTTTTTTTTTTAAGGACTCACATGAAGAACTCGGGAGACGACGGGTTGTCGCTAGTGGATCCAGCCTCTCGGAAACCATTGCTGGCCAGTTTCTCGCACTTGAGCTTGTAGGCGTCTCTTTCTCTGGCCAGCCGGGTCACCTCTTGCTTGAGCTGTTCTACCTGCTGAATCAGTTGGGTCTTCTCGTTCTCCAGGTGATGCTTCTGCTGGACCCGCTTGTACCTGCAAGACTGGGCGTAGCCGCGGTTCTTCAAGGTCCGCCTCTTCTGCTTGAGGCGGATCACTTCGTCCTTGGTGAAGCCCCTCAGGTGCCTGTTGAGCTCCCGCACCGACATGGAGACCAGCTGGTCGTCGGAAAACCGGTCCTCCACGCTGCTAGAAGACGAGGCGGAGGAGGAGGCGGAGGAGGAAGGGTGAGGAGGGTGCGCGCTCTGCATCTGCTGGGAGGAACTGGACGAAGTAGAGGGGGTGGGGGAGGCCTGGTGGTGGTGCGGGTGGTGGTGATGGTGCGGGTGGCCGGCGCCGGACAGGTCTTCGTGGGGGACCCCTCCGTACGGGTGGTGGTGGTGATGGTGGTGATGGGGATGGTGGTGATGGTGGGCAGCGGCCGCCCGGAAGCTCTCGAAGCTCTGGAGCTGCTGGGGCACTTGGTGGGACCCGATGAGGGCTTCCACGGCATCCTCCGGCGTCAGGTTGAGCGTCTCAGGGTTCATCTGCTGGTAACTGTTGGCCATCCAGTAGAGGTCCTCCAGGTGCGTCTTCTGCTCGGTGGGGCTGAAGCTGGGCGAGGAGGGCACCGAGCTGCAAGGGGTGCTGATGGGGGTGGAAGACACCGAGCCGGCGGGCTGGAGGCGGGTGCAGTGACGGCCGGAGCGATCGGCTCGGCCGAGCGGCTCTTTCTTCACGTCAAATTTCATCAGGTCGAAGTCGTTGACGTACTCCATGGCCAGGGGGCTGGTGGGCAGCTCGGGGCCGATGCTGAGCTCGGCAGCCATCGCGCGGCGGTGCAGCGGCGGCAGGAGCGGCTCCCCTCCGGGTTGGAGAGAGGGAGGGAAAAGGAGGTGGTGTCCCCTCGTCGTCGCCTCACTCCAGGGCCTCGGCTTTCTCGGGGGGGGGGGGCAGACAAGTCCGAAGAAAACTTTCTTCTCCTCCTCCTGCTCCTCTTCTTCTTCGCTGTGCGTCGCCGAGCCCGGGAGCTGCCGAGCCAAAGCAGGCGAGGGAGACCAGCGCACACGAGGGCTGCGGCCGCTCTGCTTCTGTCTGCTGCCGCCGCTGCTTTCGCCTTCTCTCTAACGGAGAGACCGCAGCGCTAGGCAAAAAAAGCAAAGAGAGAAAGAGGGCAAAGGCAGCCTGCCCGATTTCGCTTTCCTGGCCAGTAACCCCCGCTGGCCGAAGGAAGGAAGGAAGGAAAATCCTGCGAGGGCGGACTGAGCTGCTGCTGCTGCTGCGGTGCCCCTTCTTCCCCCTTCAGGGGGGAAATCTTTCGCTGGGTTTCAAAACAAAACAAAACAAAAAAACAGAAGAAAGATGAATTTCTCTGCGCCTCTTTTCGTGCTTTTCTTTTGTAAGTCCGGCTCTTTTTCAACCCGCGGCGGCGGCGGCGATTTCCCCCTGCAAACTTTTTGCTTCGCCCCGGCAACTGGGTGAAAAAAAGGTGGGCGATTGGCTGCCGTCAGGATCAGCGCTGGGAAAGGGGAGGGAGGGGAGGAAGGAAAAAAAAGGGAGGAAGGCGCCCCACCACCACCGCCACCTCCTCCTCCTCCTCCTCCTCCTCGGCGCTCAGCTCCCAGCCGCAGCCTCCAGCGCTGGGATTGAACAGCTGTGATTCGCCCAGCCGCCCCACTTGGTGCCTTATATTGTTTCCCCGACTGACACTCAAGGCGAAAGGGGCGGGCCGGAGGAGCGCTCCGACCAACCGTTCCTGGGGTAGCCGGGGTGGGCGGGGCTTTTCTTGAAAGAGACTGACAGCTCCCAGCCAGTCAGCTGACGAGCAGCTGGAGGAGAAGCCCGCGGAGCGGAGTTCCAGCTGCGCGGGTTGTGTTTTGGCTGCTTTAATCTTCCCGAACCCTCAGCTTCCCAACCCCCTTTCTCCTCCCTCCGCAGTCAGGAAAGGTCTCTCGGCCCTGATTTCTTTTCCACCGCGGCCCCTCCCCCCCACTTCCTACCTATTACACGGAAAGGTTAGTTGGGATTCTTGTAATAATTGGGTCATCCCCGCCCCCCGCGGCCTGCAAAGAGTGATTTTTACAACAGCCCAGGAAAAGAAGGGGGTAATAATAATAATAATAATTAGAAAGTGGCACTTTCCTCCTTGGGAAGGGAGGCGAGAGTTTAAAGTTCCCATAAAGTGAAATCGCTTCGCACGTGTGTGTGTGAGAGAGAGAGGGAGAGACGGAGGGAGAGGAAGGGAGAGAGAAAGAGTAAGAGAGGGGGGGCAGAGGTAAAAGAAACGGCGAGGAGAAAAATATGGTTTCACCTTCCAATCCTCTCCATACTTTTGAATGTCCCACTCAACGCCCGGAGAGGTGACGACTTGCCTCCGCCGTTCAGCAAGTTGCAACGAAGTTGTGATTCTATCAAATCAAAATCAAAGCTGGAACGAGAGACGGAAAAGCGATCCTAAATGTGGAATTGCCTTTAAAAGCGAAGAAGCAGAACGGCAACGCTAATTCCTGGCTGAGATTGAAAGGAAAGCGGGGGGGGGGTTAGAATTGCTTCTGGGGACGGGCTGAAACTCCCCCGTTCCCCCTCCCCCGTTGCCTGCCACTATTGCATGCAAAAGAGACTTTATTCTGTATGGAGGGTTTTTTTTCCCCCAAGGGGGCGGGGGGGTCGCCGTCAGTATTTTTGTTTGAACATTTTGTAACGATTAAGGGAGATTAAGTCTCTCTCGCGTTTTCATCTCCTCCCCCTCCTCCCCCTCCCCCCTCCCCTCGCTGCTCTGCTCCAAACAGACATAAAGCGCGACCCCAAGTGGTCACACGAAAAATCGCATCCAGTAAAGGCGGGTGGAAGGGGGAGGGAGAGAGAGAGAGAAAATTCCCTATCCAAGTCTAGAAATGAAACGAAGCCCAGGTGTAAGGCGAGCCCCTTGCAAAGGACGTGCGAAGCGAAGGGGCTCTTGCTGCGCGTTGCAATGCCCACCCTTGCTAAACACGAGCAGCATTTTAACACCAAGCTTTCGCTCTCACGAGAGCTTGTTTTATCCCTTTACCTGCCACCTGGACCCAGGCGCTCGCATGCACCACACAAAAAGGGATTTTCTTGCTCGCTTCTTCAGAGAATACGGTGGTTTATATATTGATCCGATTGAACTGTTGACCTCCTCTGCTTTTTATTTTCAGGGGCAGAAAAAGAGAAAAGTTAACGATGCAAAGCGCGTTCTTCTTTTATCAGGAATGGCCAGGGAGTTTCATCTTACCCAACCCGGGGAGCGCTAGGCTTTGTGCGCGAAGAAACGAAGGCGGCTTCGTCCAGAAGTGAATTCAAGGACGGGCTCTTTAAACGTCAGAAAACCCACCGGTTCTCTCCTGGTTTTTGTTTTCATCCCGGCCCCTAAACGCGTGTATTTCGGGAGCGATGTGGCCCTGACACGCTGCAACCCGAGATACCCTTGGTTCGAAATGAATGCTAATAAAACCAATGGGATCGGGTGGTCTTGCTTCTAGGAAGCTGCTCAAGGTTCGGGGACTTGAGGAAGGAGAAGGGAAGCGGGAGGAGATCTCTTGGGGATCCCTTGGGGGGATCTCCGGAGGTCGAGAGACGTGACTTTGGCGTAAAAGGATGCTTGTTTTCCCCTTTTTAAACCGAAGGCGGTTGCTTCTGAGGAACCAAGTAAAAGGTTCTCACAATCCACCCCCTCTTCCCCACTTTATAAGGGGAGAGAAAACTTGCAGGCCGAAGGTAAAACTTAAGTTGGGAGCCGTCTCCTAATGCGCTCTGCCAGACGGAAAGGAAAGCCAAAACTGGGATACATTTCCAAGTTTTGGGGCGAAAGGTGCCTGCCCGTTTCCTTCCTCCGACGCCAGTGGGCACATTTCTAGTTCTAGAAGCGCCTTCCTTTGCTCCCATGGCTAACTTCCTGCGCTCGCTCAGGGGCAAAGAAACCGTGGAGGTCATCCGGGCGGCCTCTCAGGAAAGGGAACTGGAGCGTTTAAAACTTCCCTCTTTCCCGGCTGGTTGAGGTTTCTCCTTCTCGATTTTGCTTCCCCATCCGCTGAATCGTTCCCGAGCAAGTGGCCTTGTCCGTCCACTCGCCGTCCCTGCCCTCATAAGCAACGGGGTAAGAACTTGGAAGAGAGGGGTGCGAGTTCGAATCCGACCCGAGCCCTGTTCGGCGGGCCAAACGCTTATGGATCATCGGACCCTCCTGAGTTCTAAACGGAAGGGGGAAACTCCGCAGCCAGAGTTCCCGGGGAAGGAAAGCGCCTTAGGCCCATCTTTGGCGCAAAGCCCTCGGGCGGTGGGTTCCCGGGGTATTTAAGCGGGAACCAAATGCCACCAGAAACCGGAGAGCCCATCATTTTAAGAGAATCTTAGGATCGACTTTCTTAACTTTGCCCTTGTTTCTTCGCGAGTTCAGTGGGAGTGACTTGCCCAGAAGGCTGCGCCTGGGATTGGCGCCCTTAACTTCAATCCAGTTAGGATCGCATGTCCTTAATTTATGAACAAGATCCCCGTAGGCTCTCTATTGAGATTTATTGTTGCTGTTGTTGTTCTTGTTTGTCATCGGGATCTCCGATCTGTATAATTCCTTTGATTTCACAGTCCGATCCTAAACACCCGCGCTCTGAAGAAATGCCCATCGAGTTCAATTCCCACCCTAAACGAGTTTCCTGCCTTGGAATCGACCAAGCGATTGCTGGTGGAGGGATGGATGGAGACGATCCGTTTTCGGATTATTATTTATCACAGATCGTCACACACACACCCCCCTTTTGCGATAACGCTAGGGAGCCTTTTGGAAACGCACAGCGTGAGACGCGCCTCCTGAAGGTTTTTTTTTTTGCGGCAGCCTGGCCGCCACAAAAGATCCCAAGATTTGAGAGCGAGGGCACCAAAGACTGAGTCTCAAAAGAAAACTCTCGGGTAAGGCGGCACCCTGGTGGAAAAGCGAGTAGCCTGAGCGCTTCCCTTCCTTCCTTGCCGGAAAAGAAAGTGCCCTTCAGCGCACATCCCCTCGCCGCCGCCGCCGCCGCCACCACCACCGCCCTCCCCTCCCCCGGCACAGTTCTTTCCTGGCGCTTAGTAGCCAGACCGCGCGATCCGTGGAGAGCCGAGCTGTTTGCCGGCATCCTCGCTTAAGCATTCAGTAGTCAAACCACTGCACTTCTCGTGGGGCAGGGGGGAGTGGCGGGCGGGAGGAGGGGCATAGGGCCCCGCTCCATGCAAAGGTAGAGAGCCGGTCTGGAGGTGTTTTTTTTCCTTAACACCCCCGCACTCTCAATTAATTCTTTGTAAATTAAATCCTTCCTTCCTTCCCCACTGAAGGTTTCCAGGAGCCTCCCCGGCGGGCTTTTCTCAGCGCTCTTCTCGTTTGTCATAAACTATGTAGACAGTCATAAAAAGGCGCTCCCCTCCCTCTGTTTCAATAGCCTTTTTATTCCTACTCATTAACGGTTTAAAGAGAAACTTCCTTCACGAAATGTGGGCACATTTGGACGAAACCCCTTAATCTCTGGTGTTATTATGAATTGGGTTCCTGGAACTTCCAGAGATTTTGGGTCTCCTTTTCTCTCAATTTACAGGCTGATTTAAATCACTGTGGATGCTTTGTAATTTAAGTTGCCAAAACTGAATCCGCTCCGGGATTATAAAAGGTGAGAGCGTCCCTAGACTTAATACACAAATACCAGAGGAGACAAATAACCCAAAAGTTATACAACCCCGATCTTTCAAAAAACAAAACAAAACACTATTAAATGGAACTTTCATACTCTTTGGTACCGGAAGCCCGAAGACGAATCAGAATGAATCGGATGTCAGTGGTGAGTCGCACTGGTCCTCGAGCTGCAAAGCGATTCGCTTCGCCAGAGTCCTTGGTCCACAAGAGCATCTCAGAAGTTTTGGAAGTCAAGAGACATTCGTAGGATAGCTTAGTGTTATGTGCCTTGAGCGCCGAACATGCCTTATTTTTTAAACCTGGGATTTCCGCTGCCACCCTTTGGGGTTTGGGGTCTGTTGAGACTCGCAACCTGAATTGAACGTGCAAGTGTTGGCGTTCGCACACGTTATTTCCAAAGAAGTCGCTTTGACCAGCAAGCTTGTTAGAGGCGCACTCCCAAGGAATAAAGCACCTGTTAGAGTTGGGGGATCTCCCTCCTCTTGTCGGTCCCCAGAGAATGAAGTGAAGATAGCATTGCACAAAACAACAACGCGCGATTCTTTTGCGCTTGAGATCTCCCTCTGAGATCCCGAAGGGCGACTTGGAGATTTACTCCCATGCACCGCCCGACGGATTGAAAATAACCTTTCGATTCAAGATGGATTACTTGAAAGGGAACCTTCTCTGCTTAGGAAATGTGTTTAGAACAGGATGAGCTCTTCTTCAGGAGGTCTTTAAATTGAACGCAGCCGGTGATGGTAATCTAATCCACACCTCAATTCATTTAATCTACTCTCATTTACACTCCCCTGAACTGAAGGGAATGGGTGCCTCGATGTCCGGACTGAACCCGAATCTTAGAGATAGTGAGAGTGGAAAGCGCCAGCTCCAT